ATTTTCTTTAATTTAAATTTCTTTAAATTCAGGTTTAACAGCATTAGCTTTAGCTCACAAACACTAACACAATTTAGGTAAGAATCATTGAATTATAATCAATGTCCATTGATTATATACTAATGGAGATTGCTTTCTACTGACACAAATCTTAAAATCTGAGAGAAACTGGAATTATAGTGAGTCTGCCTCCTAAAGTGAATTGAGTCAAACATATTTTTGAATCATAATATCTCCTCTAAACTTTAACAACACATGATATGCAATACCTTCTGACAAACATGCAGTGTTTCTTGAGTTATTGCCTAATTTTAGAATTCCTTCTGGACCGGCCCGGTGGCGCACTTGGTAGAGTGCAGCACTTGGGAGCGCGGTGGCACGCCTGCCGAGGGTTCGGATCCCATATAGAGACCGGTCCGCTCACTGGTTGAGCGCGGTGCGGGCGCGACACCGAGGGTTGCAATCCCGTTGCCAGTCGCGGTGCGGGCGCGACACTAAGGGTTGCAATCCCATTACCGGTCACGAAAAAAGACAAAAAAAAAAGGAAAAAAAAAAAAGAATTCCTTCTAAGAACTTGCCAGAAAATATGCCCTGTCAATTCTTTACCTTTTCAATCCATTTCTAATGAAAAGCTGCAACAAAAAAATTGAATTACAGTCCCAGATTCACTGCTGGAGTTCTTGTGCCTTTATAGTTTGGTATTACAAAGCATCAATAACCATAAATAGAAAGCCTTTTTTAAAGGTTTCATTTGCTTCTTCTATCCATAAAGAAGGACTAGCATGTACCATTCTATAGAGAAGGAATAGCATATACCGTGGTAAAACAGAATTCACTTGTCCTAAAATAATAAAGCCTGAGTGTTAGATTTAGTGAATCAATATTTTCTCATGAAGATAGGACACCACCAAAACCAGTCGATTTTGTGCTAATACTGGGTGGTCCAAAAAAAGATGAAGTATTGAAACAATTCTACATTTTTGGAGGAGCAGTGGAAAAACAAATGTAGGAAGCAGGTCAGTGTTTAATAACCCCTGAAAAGACATAGTCTGTTAACTTTTCTTCCAATTAGGCTTTTTGTGTATGATCATGCAGTGGTTTTGATGAATGGATGAATTGGTAGATAGGTAAATAGAGATAGATGGATAGATAGATATGCTTGCAAGTAAACATATATAACTCAGATTTGGTTCATATTTTGAGAGGCTGAGAATTAACAAAAAATAGTTTAACAGTAAGTGATAATATTACTTTAAAAATCTACTCCATAAACATTTGTTGCTCTTCGTTAGCAAGGTTCATGGTGATGACGATGATGATGATGACAATGATGTGATGATGATGATAAAACATTTTAAATGCTTTAAAGGTTTCTTGTGGTTCTGTGAG